TAAAAAATCATATTTCGTGTTATTTTCTTACAAGGGCCGTGAGTCTGAGGGGCCGCCAGTACAAATACGGGATAGTACTACAGAGAGGACTGGTGGGTCAAAAGTGGTAATGTTTAAAGTGGAAGCCGGGAGGATAAACTTGTGTTGTTTTGAAGCGTTGCATGGAGGTTATGCTGAACAACCCCTGCGATGGTATCCAAGGTGGATGTATGAACTTTCATTTGAATAAAAGTGGGCTACCAAGCCCTTAAACAGAAGATATTGCTAGTGGACAGCATCCTTAAAGCACTCGCAATATGTGCTAATATCCCCAAACATCACACTGGCTAAAAGCGGAGGAATTATTTTTGCTAACGCATAGCCCTCTTTCTCAAAGAACATCCTTGGGGAACAATAGTATTGCAGAAACTCTTTGGACCCTCAGATTTTAGGTGGTGGATGGAGAAAGATAATAAATAGTTTCCTCAAATTGTCGCTTTTATTTAAGGAGCTGAAAAAAAGAAATCCAAACCTCAAAATCTTTTTCAAAATATAATTTATTAAAGACCCAATCATATCTTTCTTATCTGATGCAGTGTGTTTTCGCACAAGTGTTAATGTGAGTTATGTTATAACACACTGTAGAATTAACTTTTTTTTTTTTACACTGTATATACTAGGGATGCGCCGAAATTTCGGCCGCCAAAACATATCAGCTGCAAATAGCACTTTGGGCAGAATGCCGAAAGTGCCATCTTTAGGCCGAAATTGTGGCGCATGCCTGGTTTCTCTCCTCCCCACTGGGCACTGCTCTGTGTCCGCTCTGACACAGAGCAGCAACCAGTGGGAAGGAGAAAAATGTTTAGGAGGCCGAGCGGAACTGGGAGGAGAGCGATGTTAGCAGCTGGCGTGTCACAGGAGGCCGACTCTCCTTTAACACTGCCCTAATCAGCCTCCTGTGACAAATCGGTATGGGGAACAGTGTGGAGGGTGGAGACAGCTGTCACTGGAGCCCGAGCTGGGGGTGAGAGGGAGGAGTCGGCTGTCAAAATAGACTGAGCTCTCCTCCCCGCCGGCTCAGCTTCCTGTGAGAGCCGATCCAGGATGGAGAGCAGGTACAAACAGTCGGTGATCACTGATGGTTTGTAAATAACTGGACATAGTATGAGTTACTATGTACCCGTTGTGAATTAATGGGAAATGCTGCACGCACTAATTTGTTCGGAACGGACCACAGGCATAATGTGCCTTGCGTTCCCGTGCAGCCGATCGCATTGCGGCCTGAAGACGTGGCTACTGTACCATTTTCTCTTCAATGGTCCGCCGCCCCCCTTCCTGCCCCACAACATAGTGAGCCCACCGCGATGCAGTGCGTTCTGGCCAGAATCGGGCCGCAACGCACTGTGTCTGGTGTGAACGAGGCCTAAATAGCTTGTTGCCACATTTCTGATTTAAAAACCTTTAAAACAAATCTGAGAAAGATTACATGCCATCCTCACACCAGAAAAAAACTTTGGCTGTGGTTCCACATGAAATAGTTTAATCCTGCATATTCCCTATAGTTTATAGTGCTCTGTTAATAATATAAAATTCTATTTAGGCACCAAAAGTCATTCTTTTTCACTCTTAAAATAGATATGAACACACAACAAAGAAAAAAGACAGTCGGCCTCTATCACACTCCTTGACATATAATATGCATGAGAACACTGCTGACACACTATGAGCTGTCACAGTTAGCAATGTTGAGGACAGCCTGCATGTGTCTTGTTGGTTGTGTGAGGGAGGGGAGAGGTCTTATTTTAGCAGTTATGTGAGACATACATAAACTGAATGTGACCACAAGAACTTAGAGGACACTTTCAAATGGATCCTCCCTGCCCAGGCCTGCAATGAAGAGGGCAGCGTTCATAGCTCTGGCAGTAATTGTGAGCTCTTCTGACAAATGCTTTGTTTGTGTGATTGTGTCTTACTACACAGCTGATGTAGGGTAACTAAATTTGATTTTAAAGTCACGGACTACTTATCATTATACATGGGCTTATAGAGTTCAGCAGTGTAAAACAAACAAAAAACAAAAAAACTAATACTGATTCATCAAAACACTAGAAAAGTATTAATTTAACTGTTTGGGTTTTGAATATAAAAATAGAACTGTGTAGAAATATATTTGCTTATTGGAATGTAATGGTTACATTAGGCCTAGTGTATAAAATGTTTCTAAAACGGCCCTTAGTAACCAGATTGTCCTTTGCTGTCCCGGGTTCTATCTCGACAATGAGAACACAGCCCAGCAATAGAAAACTAACAGAGGTTCCAGACCTTCCCCACTTAAAAAATGTTCTAGTTTTATATCCACACACTATTTCAGTTTGAATACTTTCTGAATGCACTTTACATACTGTTAGCCCTCCCTGTTAGTTTGTTCCTGGGCAGCACAAAGAGAGTTGTTCGCATAGTGGCCCTGCAGTCTACTTGTCCTGAGTTCAGTTCCCACTGAAGACACAGAAGGGAATTTATCAAAACTGGAGCAGACAAAACCTGGAGCAGCTATGCATGGAAACCAATCAGCTTCTCTCTTTCTGATTAAAATCTTGACTGAACAAACTGAAGAGAGAAGCTGATTGGTTGCCATGCATAGCTGTTCCAGATTTTCTCTGCTCCAGTTTTGATAAATGACCCTCACACTGTTGCATTTAGCATTTTATGATGTAAAGTCATGGCCAAAAATATTGGCACCCCTGCATATCTGTCAGATAATGCACTACTTTGCACAGAAAATTGTTGCAATTACAAATGTTTAGGCATTCTCATGTTTATTTCTTTTGTTTGTATTGGTATGACCAATTGGTATATATTGGTAAAGCCCATCATTCTACTGTTTTCAGAAAAAGAAATTAAGCCTTTTTAAAGAAAAAAAATACAGTCCCTACAGCCAAACATGGTGGAGGTTCACTGATGTTTTGGGGTTGCTTTGCTGCTTCAGCACTGGATGTCTTGACTGTGCATGGCATTATGAAATCTGAAGACTACCAAAGAATTTTGGGGTGCAATGTAGTGCCCAGTGTCAGAAAGTTGGGTCTCCGTCAGAGGTCATGGGTCATACAGCAGGACAATGACCCAAAGCACACGTCAAAAAGCACCCAGAAATGGTTTCAGACAAAGCGCTGGAGAGTACTGGACTGGCCAGCAATGAGTCCAGATCTGAATCCCATAGAGCACCTGTGGAGAGATCTCAAAACAGCAGATGGGGAAAAGGAAAATGCCGTAAGCATCGTCATTGTGCCCATAAATCCTCATGGAATCCACTAGGTCTGTCATAGCTTTCTTTCATCAGAGAGTCTTTCTAACCACAAGGCTGCATACTTGCATGGCTCAGTTCACATCAAGCAGTTGTGTACATCAATACTCCAAACACACTGCACAGATTTGTCTCTGATTACAGGATTATCTGTTGATACATGGTATCAGTATGCCTGATCTACGGCTTTCTTCCTCTAAATCTTCCTTGTCTGCTCCTCAGGATTGAGATGGTGGGCATTCCAGTGCTCCTCATAATTCCAAAATGGCCCAGACAACTCTGGTACTCTGACCTTCCAGGCTACAAGCAATGTGGGCTCCCATGGACCAATTTTCCATATTGTTTCATGGTCACTGATTTGCACTACATGGCTGTTTAAGTCTAGTTCCTTGTCCACCAGAGTCTCTGCTTCAGTGATTCCTATGCTGTGCACAGAAGGCTACTTTCTGCAGTGTCTAGCATCACTTTCTGGATGGCATAATTTGCCTACTGTTTTTCCTGGCAAATACTCGGAAATAATCCAGACTGGTTACAGTGAGATCTGTGTCGACATTTGCATTTAGGTCTTTTAGGCATAATCCTTGTACTTGCAAGCTTTTTCTAGGATTACTGGATTACTTCAATTTTTCTGATTTAAAATTTTGAAAGGGTGTGACCTATGTAGTTCCTCTTGTGCAACCTCCTATTATTTTGTTTACGTATGGTCCTCCTTGGTGTTCCTTGGCGATTTCTCATTTCTGTTTTTATTACCAGGGTCGCCTTACTGGTTGCCATCACTTTTGCATGTTTTTTGAGCTGGTGGCTTTGTCAAGAAGAATCATCTCTTGTTCTACACATGGATGGGGTGGTGTTGAGAGCAGAGCTTCCCTCCTGCCTGCTAAGGTTTGGGCTTCTACCTCATCCAGATCATTATTCTCTCGACGCTCTGTCCAGCTCCAGTGTCTGAACAGGAAAATGTATTGTTACTGTCTACATAATTGTGTGTTGTGTAGGTTTACCTTCCTGCCACTTCTTATGGTAAATTATTTTATCCAGGCTTCCTAGTAGAGGGCTCTGGGCCTCCTACCCAGATGGATCTGGCCATTGTACGCTTCCCAGGGAACTTTCATTTATTTGTATTCTGTTTGGGGCTTGTGCTACTTACAGGCGGCTTGTACTGTTCCTGTCTGGGAAAGTTGTTTAGTTTTTCCACCCCTTGCTAGATGCTGCATTGGGACATCCAAATGGTCACAGATTGAATTTCTTTGCTGTGTCCTTCAATAAACGGCAGGGAAAATAGGATTTTTGGTATTCACTGAAAAATCCTTTTCTGTGTGTTCATTAAAGGACACAGTACCAACCACTCTGGTTGTTTTGTCTGTGACCATCAGTTGTTCTATGCATTGCTTTGTGACTAACTGAGCTGCCTCTAGCTGTTGGTGCTGGGTTGGCTACTGTCAGGGTTTAGTCAGTGCTTTTGTTTTTTTGCCTAGTGTCCTACTCCTGAAGGTGGCTCTATAAGCCCAGTGGTCAGGAATTCAAGATCCTTCCCTGTGTCCTTCAATTAACTCAGAGGAAACGATTTTATGGTGGGTACAAAACAAATCTTATCTTTCTATTGTTCCAGTTTATGATATATACAATTGTATAAGTTCCCTGACTTGGCAGACCTATTTTTGTATCTTTCTTATGCCATCTTGTTTAGTATCTGTTATCTGATTATTATCTCCCTATTTTACAGCTTGCATTCGCTGGTCTGATCCGGAAGACTTTCTATAGTAGCGAAATGTGCTCCGGGCTTGTAGAGAATTATGTGGCTGCCATGGTCCTCAGTGCAGCTGGTGATGCTCTGGGTTACAAGAACGGTGACTGGGAATTCTGTAGGAGCGGTACTGCAATTCATGAAGAACTAGCCAAACTGGGAGGCTTAAAGAAGATTGATGTGAAAAACTGGATAGTGAGTGATGACACTGTGATGCACATCGCCACAGCAGAGGCATTGGTGGCAGCAGGCAAAGACACAAAGCCTACCACGCTCTACCCGCTAATAGCAAAGAAGTATAAAGAGTGCATGAATGACATGGAGGGCAGAGCTCCAGGTAATAATTAAATCAATGTGGCTAGCATATATGTAAACACTAGGAGTTATGCAGCAAGCGGCCAAAGGCAGCCGAATGAATAACTGAGCTGAAGTGAAGTGAGCCGAACACCGTTTGGCTGTTCACTTCGGACTTGTGTGGCTGATTTCAGCCATACATCAGCTAAAGTCAGCCTGTTCGGGTGAGCCGAAGTGAAGAAGCTGTTCGACTCAGCCAATCCGGATCGGCTGAGCCAAACCTCCGCCAGTTCACTCGCTGCCGTTCGGCCCTATTCTCATTGGGGCCGAACGGCAGTGAGTGAATAGCTGAATGTCGCCAAACAGCATTCAGCTCGGCTATTCTGCTCACTACCTCCAAATAAAAACTACCTATTTGCTACCTCCAAATAAAAAAGAGGAAAACTTATTAAAAGCACAAATAAATACAGTGTAGGCTCCCCTTCCTGATCCATACCAGACCCTTTAGGTCTGGTAGGAATGTTAGAGGAACCCCAAGTTTAAAAATAATAATAAAAAAGAAAATGCGTAGGGTTCCCCCTAGAAGTCATACCAGGCCTTTTGGGTCTGGTAGGAATTTTAAGGCGAAATCCCACCCCCAAAACAAAATTCCCAACCAAACCCTTGATCCAAGCACAGGAAAGGGGGGGAACGAGCAAGCGCCCCCCACCCCCTCCTTCCTATACCAGGCAATATGCCCTTGGCACTGGGAGGATGCTTTTCTAGGGTCCCCCCTCGAAAAGCACCTTGTCCCCTTTGCCGATGGGGACAAGGGCCTCTTCCCCATAAGTCCTGGGAAGTTGGTTGTGGAGGTCTGTGGGCAGGGGGCTTATTTGCATCGGGGTACCCCCTTTAATAAAGGAGGCACCCAGATGCTGCCCCCCTTGTGAATGAGTAAGGGGTACTTGCACCCCTATTCATTCACTAAAGGATTAAAATAAAAATGTAAATAAAAAGACCAGACTTTGTAAAAATTCCTTTTAATTGAAATAAAACAAATATTTTTGACAATTGTTTTATTAAAAATTTCCAAAAATTAATCCAACAACGTAATCCAGGATCAATCATGACGTCCAGCATTGTCCACGACAACTTGTCGACATTCGAATTTTAAAAAACGATGCCCGCCAACCCGTCCGCACATGAGGAACTCCTGCCGCCAAATGACAATCTGACAGATGCCGGCAAAATATATACAATTGGGCGGAGCTAGCGGAGACCGCTAGCTCCGCTCAACTGTTTAAATTTTTTCCGCACATGTCACATACCGGCTGAATCAAAACAAATTGGCGGAGTCAGCCGTGCCGTCACAGCTGGCTCCACCCATTAGTCATTCAGTGACAGCCCAGTGTCCTCAAATAACTTGAGCAATAGAAAAATGTCACCAGCACACCATAAGTTGAAAAAGCAAAATATTTTATTGCCAATAGCTGTATCTCCTATTGTTCATGTGTGGCGGTGCCATCCACAGTCATTTCGAGCACCCATCTTCATCAAGTGGGAATCCCGGTAAGGAGTGCGGTATGGTTCCTGTTTCTGTTTACTCAAATAACTTGAGGACGCTGGGCTGTCATTGAATGACAACAGCTTGGCGGAGTCAGCCGTGACATCATGGCTGGCTCCGCCCATTTATTTACATTTGCGGGGAGAACGGTCTGCTTCGGCTGTGACTTCTGCTCAGCCGAGCCAAAGCATATGCGCTCGGCTGAGCCTTTCTCCTGCCTTCGGCTGTTGTATGTGCTATTGTGAATAGCCGATACAGCAGCCCTTTGGTTCGGCTGAACCGCATGACTCCAGCGGCTGAATTGAGCTGTAGGATTAGCCAATGCTTCAGCTCGATAGTGAATAACCCTCTAAGAGTTCAAACACAAGGGCACAAGAACTCTGCTATCAGACCAGGCGGCCACTATGGGGCCCGGACACGGGGGCCCGGCCAGGGCATCCCTCTGATGACTTGTGGTCCACCTGGGTCGCTATGGCATGTAAGGGTGCTGGCTGTCGCTATCACAGATCAGCAGCGGTGTTTCCCCTCACAGCCTCTGCGGAGCTGTGTCAGTGACAGCCAGCAACTACGGCAGAAGAGGCCAGCGTTCGCAGTGAAGGAGGAGGCGGGGTCCATCTAAGAGCAACCCCGCCTCTTAAATCACTGGCCAGCGACCTATTTTTTGTTTCTCTGTTTTGTTTTCTTTTAGGCCTGGTTCACACCTGGGTTTTTTACAGTGCATTCCTACGCGCTGTAAAACGCTCAACATGTGAAAACCAATAATTGTCTATGGGCATGGTTTCCACCTGGACGTTTTACAGCGCGTAGGTACGCGCTTAGAAACGCCCTGTGCCCAAAGAAGTACAGGAGCTTCTTTGGGGCGTATTTGCCGCACGTATTACTTTTGGACACAGCCGGATAGCCCTCAAACGTGCGTTAGTCGTGCGTTTCTTTTACTGCAAATCACGGTAAAAACGCACGGCAAACGTGCATATTCCGTACGCCCAGGTGTGAACCCAGCCTAAAAGTATCAGTATGGTCGCAGTAAGACCCTACTGCTAAGCCACCTAACTCTTGACCCTGCTGCATACTTACCTTTATTGGGATCCTGTGCACCCAGAGCATGCAACACCTACACCCAAATCATACAGCGCTGAGATATTGAACCAGAAAAAAACATTGTTTGGTTTATATAATAAGGCTGTTAAAACAACAGTTCAGTAAGCTGAACGTTTTACTGTATGTGTATGAAAGTGTATTAAGTGTATGAAACTTGGTCAGATAAGATATTGTTTTGGCTGTGCTTGTAATAACTATGAGGTGAGTGAAAATCACTCAGCCTCATAGTTCGAGCCGACGTGTGACAATTAAACTGTCACACGTCAGCTCAATAAATCGGGAAGTGAGCGAACACATACCGTTGCTCGCTTACTTCTCGATCATCTCTCGCAGTGAACTGTCAGTCGCCGCTCCCCACAGGGAATCCCCACTCCCCTCTCCGATCCTATAGTAGATTTTTCATACAGTCATTTTACTTGATAACAGACTCTATAGACTGAGTAGGCTGTTAAAAAGTGTAACGAAATGACTTTTGTTTACGGTTGAGATTCATCCAGGCTGCCTCAAGTATTAGTTTCTGATGTTCTTGCCTGATCCTCCCACCCTTTTCTTTTATCTTGGGTTTGTAAATCTGTTTACTCTTTGTATTCTACAGTGCACAGTAATGTTCCATAGAGTTCTAGGACAATCTCCCAAAGCCAGAGACACTCTGTGGATGGCCCTATATCCCTGTGGGAAGCTTCTATGCAGGCAGGGCCAATGCACTAAAGATTTGCCAGATGTAAACAGAGTACAGCAGAGACTGCATGCACAATTGCAAGGCAGGTATGCACCTTGGGGGAAGAGGGGCTGGGGAGGGGAGTGTTGGAATAGCTCAGTAGGTGAAGTACAAAAAATAAGTGCACTTTGAAAGTGCATCTATCCTTTAAACTTAAATTGGCTACTTGGTTTCTAGAATTTTCTAGAGGTTGCTAAATTTAGTTTGAAAATTTCATGTTCTAATTATTTTAAACTACTATCTGCCTTTTACACAGGTTCAACCTGCAAGTTTGGTACAAATATGTTAAAGCCTGATGTTCCAGATGGATGGAAAATTCCATTTAATAAAGCTGGAGGTGGATGTGGTGCAGCCATGCGTGCAATGTGCATTGGGCTGAGATTTCCTCACCCAGAACAAGTTGATGACTTGATCCGTATCAGCATAGAGAGTGGCAGGATGACCCATCACCACCCTACCGGATATCTTGGTTCACTGGCAGCCGCGCTGTTCACCTCCTATGCTGTAAACCGCAAGCCTCCGCATGAGTGGGGCAAAGCATTGCTAGATGTTCTGCCTATAGCAAAGGACTATATCAAAGCTGCCGGTCACGAAGTTACACCAAATTTAGATACCTGGTAGGCAGCTCTACATTACCTTTTTGGTTTTATGACAATTGGTATTTAAATCATTTTTTAAAGACTAAATACGCTTTCAAACATAGTGCGCCCCCCCGCTGTGACCTGTACATGTGTACCTCTCCACATGCATTATTTCATTGCATGCACAGTTTTTTAACTGCTCATATTTGAGACAGTTTCTTTAGGATCCATTGCAAGGATTTTAGCAAATTTTGGCAGGTCTATACCTTACTCTTCTCTGCCATTTTGCCTTACTGATAGCAGTTTCAGAATGAGGGAGTCAGTCTTCATGATAATAGTAGCAGCAACAGCAAGGTGCAAAATTATATTTTGACGAGTTTCTCAGCAGGCATATTATTTTCTCAGGGAATAACAAAACCACTACTAAAACCCATTATATAAGTGTTAATTAATGACATAAATGTTAATTTCACATGATCTCCTATTCTCTTCAAACAGATTCAATTGCCAATACAATATATATATATAGATAGATAGATAGATAGATAGATGGATATATATATATATAATGTGTATATATGTGTTAAAAGCATTTATAGTCTCATAAATAATCATATCACATCCCTTTAGTATTTGAAAGTGTATTATACTGCGTGGTAATAATTATAGCAGCATGTCATTTATCAGTCTTTCCACTAGTTACTGCCAAATACACAGAAAAACCCCTAACATAAAGATATGCTTCTCTGGGGGGCCTAAAAGAATCTATGGTATAAGTTGTTGGTGACTCACCCACTTCTAACTGACATCATCTAGCAAAGGAGATTCAATACAAAGAACAAGCACACGCACTTTGGGGCTTATAGATAAAATGTGTACAAACAGTTAGAGCTGCAGCTAACGATTATTTTCAAAATCGATTAGTTAGCCGATTATTAAGTTCGGTTAATCGGATAAAAAATATATATATTTTTTTTAAATGCCTCCAGTGATGGGACTACTAGTTTTGTATTGAGATTGTAGTCCATCACAGGAGCAAGCTTGGAGTGGAGGAAGTAAAAACTGTGGTGTGCAATATAGTGAAATGAAAAGTGTAAAATTTATACAGCAGAATGGCACTGGCTATAGAGTACTACAAAACCCAGCAATAGTACATTCTAGCTAGCGGTGTTCTGCATTGCTCTGTATAATGTATTATTGCTGGGTTTTGTAGTCCTCTATAGCTGGTGGTATTCTGCATTGCGCTGTATAATGTATTGTTGGGATTTGTAGTCCTCTATACAGCGCAATGCAGAATACCACCAGGTATATAGGAATGCAACAAATCCCAGCATTAGTACATTATACATACAGTGTATAATGTATTGCTGGGATTTGAAGTCCTCAATAGCTGATGGTATAATATACAGCACAATGTACCATCAGCTATAGAGGACTACAAATCCCACTATCCCAGCAATACATCATAGAGCACCATGTGTGGGAAAGTGCAGACGTACCTGAGCAGTCTTCCAGCAACTTGCTTCTGAGATCGGGCCTGTCTGTCGGCGGCTGTCATCCCCCCCACACCTGCTCCTCCTTACTACTTCTTCTCCCTGCGTCCCTGAGTCGATCGCGGATGTGAGCAGGTGGTAAGTTGAGTCGGGGAGGAGGTGCGGCGTGTGTGGAGCTGTGAACAGGGCCAACTAATCAATAGCCGATTAATGGATGATTGAAAAAGTTGACAACTTTTTCA